GGTATGATATAGAAATGACATACTGAAATATAAAGAGAGGGTAGTTGGGATAAAGGGATTGCTTTAGAAAAAAGGGGACTTAATATAATGATAATTATATAATAGAGATACAATTCTGATTTTTAAAAACTTTGTTGTTTTCTGTGGAGGTAGTAATAAACACTGTATAAATGTAGGTATGATATAGAAATGACATACTGAAATATAAAGAGAGGGTAGTTGGGATAAAGGGATTGATTTAGAAAAAAGGGGACTTAATATAATGATTATATAATAGAGATACAATTCTGATTTTTTAAAACTTTGTTTCGTGGCCTTGGTGTTATCAGCACCGCACTCTCCCGAGTGAGCCACAGGCCGGCCCAAAACTTTGTTGTTTTCTAAATAACGTGAAAAGAATGGTCTGCCATTTTGATCATTTCTGTAATTGTTATTTTGTATATCATTTGTAGGAGTTCATTAAGTAGGTGATTACTTTGGTATCTTGATATATGCTTAAAAAGGGTATAAATTTTTAAAAGGGTATAAAATCACTTTTTCACTAGCCATCTCTGTAAGTACAAGTCAGCTATAGAAATTATTTTTCTGCTTTTATTCCTATGAACTCACTTAGTATGGCTTTCATTTAATCCAGCTCTGTTTAAGAGAGCCCGTTAGAAAAATCTTAATGACCTACAAGCGTGTGTTAATTTCCTTGTTTTCCTTTGTTTTAAAATTGTAGGAATTGAAGCCATTTTTTATGAAGGAAGTTGGCAGTCACTTTGATGATTTTGTGACCAATCTCATTGAAAAGTCAGCATCATTAGACACTGGTGGGTGTGCTCTCACAACCTTTTCTGTTCTTGAAGGAGAGAAAAACAACCACAGAGCTAAGTAAGTATGTGTGTTATTTTCTTTAAATGTAAACTTCTACTCTCGTATAGCTCAGTGGCCAGAATGTGGAGTACAGTAAAAATGCCTGAGCTCACAACCTGGCACGACTTTTTATTGGCTGTGTGTTGTGTTGGGAAAGTTATTTAACCACTCGAAGGGTGAATTTTTTTGTCTTAATATGTGGATTATAACATATATGCATACCTCTTTTAAGACTGCTGACTGACAAAATAATACAGCCAACACTTGTTGAGTGCTATGTATGGGTTAACTCATTTAAACCAAACAGTGATCCTGTGAGGTAGATACTATAACTATCCGCATATTACAGATTAGAAAACTGAAGCACAAAGCACTTAAATTTGTCCAGGATTACACAGCAGGGATTGAACTCAGAGTCTGCTCCAGTGTCCTTGCTCTTAACCACATCATTGTATGCCTCTCTATTGTACTTTATACAATACTAATAATAAAGTATAGCATGATTAGTATATATTTCTCTAATTGGTCAGTCATCCACAAGTGTGCTCATTTGCCATTTTGTGCTTTCCTCAGTTTTATGCCCCTGTGGTCTCTTTGTTAGTCTTTCCTGTTCTGGAGAACAGTTTTGACCAGAAAAATTGACAGAAGTGCTGGTGGTACTACAAAAAGCCCTAAAGAAGATAATAATGCTAGATGTTAAAATATGGGTTTTTAGTAACTGGAGGCAGCCATTAAGATTAGAAGGCTGATGGGAGTTCTGGAAATTCTTTGATATCAGGAAGGTTATCATAAACATCAGTGCAGTTTTAGAGGACAAACCAGTAACAGTTTATGACCTGGAGTAAAGTAGGGCTGGAGGCTTGTCCATGACCTTAGGGGATCTCTAGGAATAGGAAGAGTGATTGCCAATGTGTGATTCAGGGAGTGCTTTTCCAAAGGCACTGGGTATGGGGACTGTTTTGAGTGCTGCTCCAGTTAGGTGTGTCTAACATCTTTTCTGTCCTAAATAGGCATGCATGTACTTACCTCACAGCATTGTTCAGGGGTAAATGAGATAATATGTATAAAACCCTTAACACAGTAACTGGATCATAGTGAAAAGGTAGTTAATGTTAGATGTTATACATGGTAATAATTTTGTCCATGGGATTAAATTTCTTCAGATACTTGAAGTACTTATATTTTAATTTTTTGCTCTTCTTAGAGATCTGAGAGCACCTCCAGAACAAGGAAAGATTTTTACTGCAAGGCGATCTCTCTTAGAGTGAGTACTTTTAGTTGCTTTAGTTAATTATTAGTTTGAATTTTTTTTAAAAAAGCTATTCTTGTGGGCCGGCCCGGTGGTGCACTGGATAAGTGCGCCGCTTGGGAAGCGCGGCGGCGCTCCCGCCCGAGGGTTCGGATCCCACATACAGACCGGTTCCCGCTCACTGGCTGAGCGAGGCGCGGGGACAACACTGAGGGTTGCAATTCCGTTGCCGGTCCCCGGTCCGGTACGGGGGCAACACTGAGGGTTGCGATCCGTTGCTAAACAAAACAAAAAAAACAACTATGAATATTTAACGAGTTTGTTCTGTATCCATGTAAATCATTACTTCTGATATTTCTTTTTGTTCATTTGCTGTTTCTTGTTCCTTCTTTTTGGTCTTCTGGTTTTCGTGTCTTGTTTCAATGGAGGAGTTAGGGATAAGAACAGTTATCTGTCCTCCGATAAATTCCTTGAAGTTGTGCTGCAGAGAATTGGTTAACCAAAGAGCTAGAGCAAATGTTTTCTAATTAGGTAAACCACTTTGAGAGAGTTTTGCAGTTGCTGCCTTTTTTTTCTTTTTTTGAGTTGCTGCCTTTTTGATGTATATATATATCAAAGGAGAAATTAAATATATATTTAATTATATATTATATTATGTATATTATATATTATATATATTTAGAATTAAATATATATATATATATTTAGAAACTTGATGGTTTTCTCAGTTATTTACTTTAAAACCCTAGTTGCCTATTTTTTTAATAAAATCCACACAATATAAATTAATTGTGGTGATTTCGTTTGTGAATATAAAAAGGAAAATAAAACAATTATCATGAAGATTTTAATGATAGAATTGTACTACATGACAAATAAAATTAAAATACACTTACATTAAAAAATTTTTTTTATCCAAGGAAATAGAACACATTTTCTATGGTTCAGGTAGGTTTTTATCAGAATTTGAAGATCCTTACTTCAGAGATTTAAAAAAAAGTCATCTAGAAGGTCACTGCTATGTTTTAAAAGAAAAGTAGCCCAGTCTTAAATGTAAAAGTCAATGAGGAGAAAGTGAAAGCATTTGTTAATGGTTAAGTTTTACAG